AAAACTCAGGCTTCATGGCACGGGAAGGTTACACTGCTCTCTACTGCCTCACATAACCACTAGTCCTGCTAAGCACATCAAGTACCTGCCTTCTGGTCAAATTCAGTACGCTCTGAACTGGGTATATGTTGGGCCCAATTCCACTGCATCACCCCAAACCCTTTTCTTATTATTATGTTAAACTGATTGGCTACTTCAAAGTAGATAATAAGACCCACAAGCCATTACATCCTCAGGTCCAAATAGCCAAAGATTTGCCTTTTCCAAACCTCCCCCTGTAACCTCTATTACAATTTCTAAACCCTCACCTAAACTGAGGTAAGTAACTCTCCTATGCTTTTGTCAACACAGATAGCAGCAAGTTAGGAGAGAGTTGGTTTCCAATGTAATAAAAGCAGACTGACTCCATCTCTAGCTCTAGATCTGAAACATACTGAAGGGTGGTGGCTGTCAGAGAGAGAAAGGGGAAGCAGAGCAGGTGTGAATGTGGGCAGGCAGGGCAGCTGGCACGCGGCCGCGGCTGACGCTAGAGGAGTGCAGTGAACGTCCCCACAAAGATAACAAGTTTCTCCTTTTGAACTAGCACTTGGCAGAATAACAGTGGCTCAGACTATGATCCAGTTTAAAGGAGGAGTCAGGACATGTACCAGCTCCAAACATTTTTTTAAAGTAAGAACAAACACAAAATAAGAGCCACTGTCTAAGTAACAAAATTAATGAATCTGGGATTCTTTTCAGCTCCCCAAGTGTAAGGAAGTGAAGTATTTGGCTATCTTGAAGAACAGCCCCTTGGGTTTTGCCAGCCACACTCTTATTCCCAGCTGTCCTGAATCACCATTTGGTTGGTGTCTTATTCTCTGCAAGGCAAGGCCTTTTTTAGAAAAAATTTAGAGATTTAAAAAATTACTGGCAAATAAGAAAAAGTATCTAATTTTAATGAATGTATTTTCTCCTTCCACACCTCTATAAGCTATTCTTCACTGCTCTCACACTGCCCAAACAGTAGTTATCCTGGCCTCAGAGATGAGTTAGCTAGAATTCAGGGCAAGACTAGCCTTGGGTTAACAGGATAAGCACCTATCCTACCATGACTGTCCTCAGAGGCTCCTAAGCTAATCACATAAAAAGGGTTCATTAAAACAGCGTCTAACCTTTACCAGTACTCAATCTGACTATTCACCTGGGACAAGCTGGCCACAAATGAGTTGACAATGAGGTCAATCAATACCTAACAAAAGTGAGGAGTCAGATTTATGAATCTTTGGAGGTCAGCATCTAGTTGCTTTTCTGACTGACTATGACAACACTCACACAGAGAGGGGCCAGGCCCTGTGGGTTATGGGTTGGTGCTAGGGCAGGCGTTCCCACGCAGATCCCCCCTCGGAGAATGGAGCCCTGAATCCAGAGAACTTATGGTTATTCAAGGGCAGCTGGGGAAGGGCTCCAGGGGTGTCCAGTTCCTAGCACTGACAGATGTGCGATTATGTTGACACATTCACACAGTCTTCATAGAGCAGGTGCATGAAGCAATCTTTTAATTTCATCCTACCAACTTTAGCAAGTTAAACTGTAACTATGGAGGCAGCAGGAAACTATACCTGCCTACTAAAACTGTGGTCATGGGCTTCCAAGAGCATCATGTTCTTTCCAGGCCTTAATGGCAGGCATGGAATTCCTTAGAGTAAGTCAAATCTATTGTTAATGCAGTGATCCCTGACACCAGGGCACCAGCCAGCCTCCCACCCATCCAAATAAAGATGGCACTTGGGTGAAGTGAAAGCACTGGTCCCAAGTCGAGAGAGCCCCAGGAGCCTTTTCCATCCTTTCCACTCATTCACAAGTAAATAAGTAAAATTCTTAAGTAGTAAATAGAAGGGTGCTATTTATTATTAATACCACACTGTTTATACACCCCAGGAAAGAAGTCTCTACTCTTTAAGACCAAACAAATAGGGGATCTCATCAAAAAGATGTCACAGGCAATCCTCAGTTTACATTAGAGCCACTTGCCTTTTTCAGCTCTGCTTTTCTCATTTCTTGATTACACTGATCATTAGCTCAGTTAATGCTTTTGCTCAACACAGCCTCCAGACCAACAGAAAGATCTAAGGAAAGTCCAGTTCACCTACTAATATGTTTCAGTAATGTGGCATCTGGATTTGAATTCCAGCTGCCTCTTGCCAGCTGTTTGATACTGTATGTACAGTCACTTAGCCCCTCAGAGCTTTTCTTTTCTTATCAAAAGTGAGACGATATATGTAAAGTTCTTGGCAGCACAACTGGCACATAAGAAGTTAAAAAAAATCTGGAGGACATGTAATCTCATCACTTTGTCTAGTATAGCCTTTGGAACCTCAAGCACGCCTGCTTTAAAAATAAGTCTATATTCTTAAGACATAGTTCTTAAGAATTACATTAAAATGTTCAGAATTATGAATTAACTCTGCTTTAAGATATCCATTTACATATAGCCCCAGTTCTTTCCAAAGCCATCTGTAAGTACTTCATCCACTGCACCTCAAAGGAACACACTGCAACCAAATGAACCTATTTCCCATCGTCTGTCACCCACATCTCCTAACCACATGTCTCTTAGTCCTTCTGCCCTCAACACTTCAACTGTTCTCCACACCACTGGCCTTCCTGCCTTTCCAAATCTGTCCATCCTTTGGAAAGCCCTTTCCATCAGCTCCATCTCTACTTTATCTCTTCTTTCTCCAATCCCTCCCAGCCATACATACAGACTGTATGTGTTGACTGTGTTGTTCTATATTGACCAAGTGCATACTTCAACCAGACTGAATTGCTAACTGCTCTATGCATGTTTCATCTCCCCTACTGTGCTGTAGCTAACAGCTAGGATGGATAACTTATTTTTCCAGTCTCTTACTGAACAAAGCACACTGCTCCCAACAGTGCACAGGTGTGTTAAATACTTACTGATGACTGTCTACATCCTACCCCATTCCTACCCCATTCCTAAGGAGTCCTAAGAAGTGGAGGTGACTCAACTTTGGCCAGAAATGCTTTCAGAGAACTTGTTGGATACCTATGTAAGTGCTTTCTGAATAAGATCCTGCTTAAGAAAAAAGGGAAGCTCCAAGTTCTCTTTGGGATCTAAGTGCCACATTCTCAATGCATTAATAGCCAATTGTCTCCTTAGATATCATCTCCTTAGAATCTTTTCTCTGTGGTTCTTGCAAATGCTACTTCTAAATGATTCTCCAGAGTTCATGAAAAACTCAGGTAACATATCATGAAGTCATTAACCTCAAGAAGTATCTCATGGCTTCACGATACTCCAGCCTTCCCCACAAAAAAGCAGCATGGTAGGACCTCAAGGCTGGCAGGTGATCCATTTTGACACCCCCACCCCTGCCCTCAGCCAGGACAGCCATCACAGAATTGGTTAAAAGGCATCAGACTCCAAAGTCCTAAATGACTAACAGGTGGACTACACAAGAAGATGAGTGTCCTGGCTAGGAACACCAACCCTCTTCTAAGGCCACAGCAATGGCTAAGCCAGGGAGCACAGTTGAGTGAAGAGGCTTCCATTATAGAAAGCATTGGAGCAACTGGCTTTTGCCCCCTCCAACTCTCATCTTCCCATTAAAATCAACTGCCTCAAGTTCCTGTTCTAAGAGGGCATGCTCACCTTAGGGCCTGACTCACTTAGCACCAGGAACAGTCATACTCTGGAAGGTTAAATTTAAAGAAGAAAAATCTAGAGAAATATGAGCTTAGATAATCTTTTATCACAGTGTTAAGAGTCTTCCTCAAATATAGGCAATTTACTGTCTTGTCAATTACTTTCTCTTATAGCCTTTACAACTAACATGAATCCACAGAATCCTTTATAATGACCATCCAATTGACCAATGAGTCAATCTTTTGTTACACTACTACTGATTGAAGTTCCTCTTACTAGACTGGAGAAAAAGGACTGATTCACATCACCAGGTTTCTTTTCCCAATTTGCCTCCTGACCTAGACCACAGATGAAGCATTGATCAGAAAAATCCCATTCTTAACAATAGAACAATTTATCCCTCAAAGAAACATCAATTTTATTTAAAAATTTTTGAGGGTAAATGCTAACACAAAGCAAGGGAAGACTTAACAGTTATATGATTTATATAGGTGGGATGCTGGGCCTAATACATAGCATTATTAATCAGAGAAGAATGCATAGGAATGCTCACAAACTCCACATGAACCGCCCACAACAGTGAGCTTTCAGCATCAGAGCTTTATTCAACCAACTAAAATCAACAACCAGGAACCATCGCCACCTTAGCAGAGTGTGGAAGATGCTGTTTCATCAGCTAGCATAGAGAGAAACAGACCAAGAAATCAAACACCTGGAATAGGGTCTCAGACCAATTAGAATATTTAAAACCATGGTTAACACAACAATTCTCTCACTTGTTTCCCACATGTAAAAAGTCAAAATATCACTTGGGCCAAATAAAATATCATTTGGGTTGTGGATGGGCCATAAGAGAATGAAAAGACATCAACAAGAAGATATGCTAACCAGGCAAAGAAAGTGAAGGCTCAACAATATTCAGGATGAAGAGCTGTGAAAAAAATGGAAAACCTCACCCAAAACAACAACAAAAACAAAATCAAAACAATAAAGAAAAAGTAGGAACAAATTCCAAAGATGTGGTTGTTGCTAAGTTTAGTATACATTAACACTGGAAGTACGGTAATATTTTGACTTCTTTTTTTAATACTAAAAAGTAAAAAAAAATTTGTTCTTTCAATACTCAAACCAGAGCAGAGAGACAGTAGTCAACTATAAATGTGGATGAGGTAACATCCACAGGACATGAGATGCGGGGAGGGGAGAAGGGGTAGGTTTCTGTGTCATTGCTGTTGGCAGGAGAGCTAAGCAGTCTTAAAGAACATTCTAGGCTTCTAATTTGCCAGGAAGGGGTGTCACAAATCCCAAGGCCCACCATCTACCCCTTCTCCTCTTCTCCAAGGGCACCTACCTTACTGTAAGTCACTACTGATAAGTTGTTTGCGTGACTGCTGGGGGACAGATTTACAGAGTTCTGAGAGAGTCTATTCTCATCTTGCTCGGTTTGGTCAGGAGCAGGTGCCCATGTGTTTTTGCTGATCGAGTCGAACCCGGAACCCCCAGGGTCTTTTAAGTTGTTTTCATCTGATTGTCGGTTCTTTTGGGGAGAGGCAAACGGGTTGAAGTTTCCTTCTACCTTGCGATGTGGTTGTGTGTTGAACTCCGTTTCAAAAGATGACAGCTGCTGCGTTACTCCTAACAGTCCACCCACCTCCACACTGAGAATCACCCAGATGACATCTGAAACAAAAAGGCAACTCATGTCAATGCCAGGTATATCCTCAAGGCCCAAGGCAGCCACCATAAGAACACAGAACAGCACCCAAACCATAGAAATACTTGTCTACATGCTAGTTTAAACAGCTTGCTGACAAAGTAGCTGAGTACATTTGAATTGAATTCATTTCTACTTTTTGGTAATGTCAAGTTCAAACTCTGGTACAAATTCAATAGAGGTCTGTGATGAGACCCATGAAACTACCTAGTTGATTCTGATGCACAGCATATGTAGAAATCATTATTCCAGAGAACAATGACCAATAGAAAGAAACCTAAAAGCTATGTTCCCAGAGCTGCAAGTTCTTTGTGATTTTTGCTTTATTTTGCATGTGTTTAACTCAGAAAACTCAGATCAGGCATAATTTGAGTACAAAAAATGCTTATAATTACTAGAGTTGCAATTTATAAGCCATCACCTCTCTCCCTTTGGGGGCAATTTTGAGCAACCATATATTGTTCAAACAAGGACAACAGAGAGTAAAAGAAGGAGCTAATTTACAGCAGGACACAAGCATAAACTAGCACCAAGACTGAAATATTAAGATGAATTTCACTCAAAGTTTTTTTACAATCTATGTGATCAAAACCAAAAATTTAGTATGCCTCAGACTTTCTAAAATAATCCGATTTAACACCAACTTTGTCTTTCTGTCTTGTAAGGAAACCCTATTATCTATACTGAAATCATAAGAGATGCTTTTTGCCTTTCTTGTTTTTTATATTTATTTTTTTATTAAGGTATCATTGATATACACTCTTATGAAGGTTTCACATGAAAAACATTGTGGTCACTACATTCATCCACCCATATTATCAAGTCCCCCGCCATACCCCACTGAAGTCACAGTCCATCAATGTAGTAAGATGCCACAAATCACTACTTCTTTGTGCTACACTGTCTTCCCTGTGACGCCCCCCCAACACCATGTGTACCAATCATAATACTCCTCAATCCCCTTCTCCCTTCCTCCCCACCTGCCCTCCCCTACCCCTCCCCTTTGGTAACCACTAGTCCCTTCTTGGAGTCTGTGAGTCTGCTGCTGTTTTGTTCCTTCAGTTTTGCTTGGTTGTTACACTCCACAAATGAGAAAAATCATTTGGTGCTTGCATAAGAGATGTTTTTAAAAGATGCATCACAGGACTTTTAGTCATAATTCAGTTCTTTATTTCCTCAATGCCCAAGCTAAGGGTTCATTCAAATGGAAGAATAAACAGAGTGGCAGTTTCCTTTGATGTTCAGCACCTCAATTCAGAGAACAGTGACATCAACTTTTCTGCTGGAAGGTTTTAAAAAATTGAGCTTCAGAAAGGCCAAGATGCTTCTTTAAGTGTGAACCTTGCTGAAAACAAGTATGCAAATTTGTCCAGGCTCCTAAATAAGTACTGAAAAGGTTGACAGGAAAAGGCAAATTCCATCAGTTAGCTACACAGAAATATAGATAATATTTAAGTCTAGAAAAAATATATGCAAAGGCCTAGTGAAGGAAATTGAAGAAAATCCTCTAGTGCAGTGTTTATTCTCAAATTCCAATTTGGATTCTGTATCTGAAGAAGGGGATAGTGTCAGACAGCCACAAATACTCAATTTACATTTAGTGGTTTGGTAGCTGTATTAAGTAAGAACTTGGTTGCATCCAAATAGCTGATCCAGAACTCTACTAAGTGGAGGTACAGTGACATCTGCTGTTCACTTATGGAATTACACTTCTTTTCATCTCGGGACGACAACATGAAAGCCCCTAGCAACACTAGCGTGACCCAAAGGATTGGGCACCCATCCATTCCAGACACACTTAATCTTAAAGCAAATGTAAATCCCATTTAACTAGTACCATAGAAGTTCAACCTGCTGATTTAATATTGTAAGCCAGGATATGCAGCAGCATGTCCCTTAACTTAAAACCTGAGACACAGTGCCGGGAATAGTGGGTCAGAGGACTTTCATTCAAGGCTGTAAGTCAATCTCATAAGCCAATATTGATGTTGGCCTTCAAGAGCAATTCAATGACAGGCAGCCTGAGGGGGATTCACTCCAAGGTCTCCTATCCTAACTTTCTAACCAAAGGTAACATTCACTCTACTGTTCATTCTTCCCCAGTGGATATGCCCTGTCTTGCAGTACATTAATCCCTATTTCTTGTCCTCCACCTATCTTGTTTTCCAAAGTCCTTTTGAAAGTCCATGATATGTTTGGCATATTCAGTTACAGGTCATATGTTTCATTCTCTTAGTTTAGGTGACTATGTTTATGAGAAAGGAGTCTTCTGAAGGCTGTTATCAATATATGAGACTAATGTCATTTCCTTCTGGCTTTGAGAACTAAAGCTTCTTTAATGTAACTCACTGGGCCTTATATTTAAGCCACTGCACTCTCTTCACCTTGGCTATTTTTAGGTACTCTTCACAGATTCTACATAGTGGCTGCAAAAGAAAGGTCATTTAAGAAACCACTAATTTATAAACACCAACAATAAACACTCCAGTTCTGATCCTCTTAAGTTATTACTATAATGAGTCATTATAAACATCAAAACATGCCTTCTACATAGTATAATCTGAGCTATCTAGGTACTACCTCTAGACCTCACATTCAGAATGTGCTCATCCCATGTATAGTGTATGTATGTCCTAAGCAAACAAAAAAGATACTAAAGATGGGTCCAATAAGCTTGTTTCAGGGAGGTGACCATTTCCAGCTCTTGCCAGAATGCTTTGATTACTGAGATAAGAACTGCCAGCCAGTTATTTCACTATCTGCGGTGACAAAATCATAAATGCAAGCAATCTTAGAGGTCATCTACTAGAACTAATTTTGCTTTCTAGATAAAGGATCTGAGGTCTAGATGTAGAATAGGCTCACATCAGACTTCAAGTAAGAAGTCAACTTACATGATGCCTAAGAAGTCACAGCTCTAAGTATAGCTTTTTAAACTTACACTTGTGTTTCTCTAACAGTAACTTGGGAACCCAAATACTTAGAGAACTAAAACAATAGTAAGTCAGTCCATTTCCCAGGATATAGTATCTTTTCCCACAGACATAGGATCTTCAGCACCAAAATCAAGAATAGGCCAATAGGATATCCTAGAAAAGGAGTCAAGAAAGTAGAACCAAGTGCCAAGCCTACACAGAGTTTATGTAATCGAATGGAGAAATTAACTTTAGAATGTCTTGCTTTCGGGTGATTTTTTTAAAAGCACCGGAGCTAGAACTTTGGAGGTAAAAGGTACTATAAATATTATTTCCTTCAACTTGTCCCTTCTACTTGTAATGCCTTTAATAATAAGTATAAACTTCTTTTTATAAAAAAGTATAATCAATTACTAAAGAGAGAATGTAACCTTTTTATTTCTTAAGTTTAGACTATCAGAAGTGTAGAGTAAAATGAAAATATTTTATTTGGAACATTAATGAACCATCCAGAAACACAAAGACATCTCAGATTATGTAAGAATGTTAAAACATTTGCATATATCTAAAAGCTAAGATCAAATCACACCATAATAAACATAAACTGCCAGCATCCACGATTTGTCCACTAAACCAGAATTGTTAAGAATCAGTATAATACTCGAACAAACTTTGTTCTTTCAGTACCAAACCAGGGGATATGGAATACAATACATATACAGCATGGGTACATACATACTGAGTTGAATAAGTAAATGGGTGGTGGGAACAAGGTTTCTCATTGCCAAAGAATAATATTACAAATAAGAAAGAATGGAAGACATTCTAAAATGAGTTCCTGTGGTAGTGCTTTAAAGTCAAAAGCATCAATATAAACTCATGTTTATCTTATATAAATACAGATGAAGCAACACAGAAGTAATTACAGATGTTTGTATGCAAAAGTTAGTAAGCATATACCTAGTTTTGTCTGCTTAAAGGGCCTAAAAGTAATGACACCCCAGTAATAATGAACATTCCCAGTGCTCAGTGGTTTCTAAATACCATTCTCTAGGCCATGGCAGGCTGTGCGGCAGGAAGGGCACCCAGGGGAGAGGAGGATGCAGGGCGCTGCAGCAGGGAAAAGTGACGAGCTGCCCTTTGTTGTCTGCCAGGAGTGCAGGCCACCTACCACTGGGTCCTCGATAAGGTGGAGCTGCCTGAGAAATTGAGGCCATTGTACAACCACTCGGCAGGTCTCAAAACAGATTTTTTCTGGGCTCCAATTATGAAATGGGGGTTTGGTGTGTGCTGGCTTGGTGGGTATGGCCAGACCTGTGGAAAAGTTCAGCATGGCTCAGTCCACTGTGTTAATGGCTACAGGGTTTATCTGGTCAAGATACTCGCTTGTATTATTCCCCCAAACTGGAGTCTGCTGTTAATTTCTTTGTTGGGGGAGCAGGAGCCTCTCAGCTCTTCCATATTTGGAGATACAACCAAGAGCTAAAGGCTAAAGCAAACATATAAAGAGTTCTGACCACTGAACAGACTAGATGTGGACACAGCCACTGTGACCTGGTTTGATTTATTATTTGATTCTGATAAGGTGATACTAACAGCTAATGCTTGGAAGGCATATGAAAACTCTAACTGTACCTAAGGAGCTGGTATTTGATTCAATAGAAAATAAAGCAAACTTTTAATAAGTGTCTCTTTACATATGACGGAAGGAACTTATCTACAGACACTAGTCACATTTTTCTACTGCTTGCCCATAATAAATCACACTTGCTCATAAAAAAAAATACCATTCTCTAAAAGAACAAGGGGTCCTTAGAGAAATGGCTGATTCTAGGGCTACAGCATGGAAAACACCAGATGAGCCTGGAACATCTTGTAATACCAGAAGGTAAAGAAGTCATCAAAAAAAACAACAGGATAGGGTATGTCACAGGGATACAGAAGCCACCTGTAAGAGTAACCTCTGGCTGAAGCTGGAATAATAAATAAAATAACAAAATAAATTATGTGGTACTAGATTATAACTCAAAGTATAAAATAAATATATATGA